TCTCTAGTTATGGCCTTCATTTTGAAATCTACTTTATCAGATAAGAGTATTGCTACTCCAGCTTTTTTTGCTTTCCGTTTACTTGAAAGATTTTTTTCCATCCCTTCACTTTCAACCTATGTGAGTCTTTTGTTGTGAGGTGGGTAAACAACATATATGTGAGTCATGCTTTCTTATCCAGTCAGCTACGCTGTGTCTTTTATCGGAGCATTCAAACCATTCACATTTAAGGTAATAATTGATATGTGCTTATTTATTGCTATTTTTGTTTAGTGTGGTTTTATTTTTCTTCCTATTCTAGTAATTACAGCAGTCCTTTTAGCATATCTTGCAGTGCTGGTTTGGTGTCAGTGTATTCCCTTAGCCTTTTTTTTTGTCTGGAAAGCTCTTTATTTGACCTTCTATTTTGAATGATAGCCTTGCTGGATAGAGTAGTCTTGGATTCAGAATTTTGTTTTTCATTAACTTGATTACTTCATGCCACTCCCTTGTGGCCTGTAGTGTTTCTGTTGAGAAGTCAGCTGCTAGCCTTATGGGGTTTCCTTTGTAGGTAACCTGTTGCTTATCTCTTGCTGCCTTTAGGATTCTCTCTTTGTCTTTTATTTTTGGCATTTTAATTACTATGTGTCTTGGTGTAGGCCTGTTTGGGTTCTTCTTACTTGGGGCTCTCTGTGCTTCTTGAACTTGAATGCCTTCTTCCTTCACCAAGTTAGGAAAGTTTTCTGTCACTATTTCTTCAAATATATTCTCTAACCCTTGCCCATTTTCTTCTTCTTCAGGGAGTCCTATGATGCGAATGTTATTACGTTTCTAGTTGTCCCACAGTTCTTTCTGTTAAGCTATCTTCCTGTTTTTTCCTTTTGGTTTTCTGATTGGTTGATTTTTTTCTACCCTGTCTTCTAATTCACTGATCTAGTCCTCAGCTTTTTCTACTCTGCTGGTTAGTCCTTCCAGTGTGTTCTTAATTTCTGCTATGTCATTCTTTATTCCCACTTGGTTGGTTTTCAGTGTTTCTATATCTTTACTCATGGTGCTGATGTCCTTACTCATGCTGTTGAGCTTCCTCAAGATCATGGCTCTGAACTCTACCACTGATAATTTGCTTAGCTGCATTTCATTTATCTCATATTTGATAGAGTTCTCTTGTTCTTTCATTTGGGATTTGTTTCTTTGTTTCACCATTTTGGCTATCTCAGTGTGTTTTGGAGCCTGCCAAATTTTCCCTGTGGTGTTTGTGTTCTGCTGTTTGTGGCTCCCTCTACTGGGTTTGGATGAGCCTGGGTGGGCCCACATTAAACGCCACTGTCAAGTCTTACTTTCCTGGGTAGATTTGCAAGCCCAGGAAAGGTTCAGTTATCCTCTAGCTTTTTCCTGGTGGCTAGTAGTCTCAGTTGCTCAGTACTTGGAATGTAGCCCTGGTATTCTGCATAAGAGGATTTCCAGAGGGTGGGATAGATGCTGGTTGTTAATGAGCTTCAATTTGCATTTCTTTGCCTCACCTGGGAAAAGCTGAATCTCGGGGGGGGGGGGGGGCTGATGCTTTTCCCCCACAGCTCTGGGAAGGAGCACACTGGCCACCGTCCTTTGTGGCCACAACTCAGCAAAAACTCTGAGTGCCCTCCAAATCCCGAGTGTCCCCATAGAGTTCCAGCCCAGTCTGCCCTCCCTCTGCCGTAGCTTCCAGATGAGTGGCTGAGGCTATTTTAGTGCTATGTCTCGGCTCTCTGTGCTGTGGAGGGGGCTTGGTAGTTTATTCCCTAAGGGCACTGCTCTCAGCTAAGACTGCTGCTATCCATGGGCTCCCAGCCTGCCACCCTCTCATGCCTCCACAGATCCTATCGGTGTCCCTGGTTATATGGTCCTGTCCTGCTGTTTTTCTGTTGCTTTTTTCTGAGGATTTGTCTTTATTTTAGTTGTAATTCCTGTTTGGTCCTGGGAGATCCTCTGTGTAGCTTCCATTCACTCCTCCATTTTCCCATCCTCTAAACCTATCTTATGCACAGCTGGGTTGCACAGGACTTTCTGGTGACCCTGCAGGTCCCGCGGGTAACTGGATGGCACAGTCCCTGCTGGGTCGTGCAGCAGGCCTCCCTGGTGCTTCAGAACCCCACAGCCCTGTGGGTAACTAGATTGCGCAGTCCCTGCTGGGTCGCACAGACCTCTCTGGTGCTTCAGCACCCCGCATGTCTCGCAGGTAAGTAGATCGATTGCACAGTTCCTGCTGGGTGGCACAGGCCTCTCTGGTGCCCCTGCACCCTGCAGTTCCCACAGGCGGGCAGCTGGATTTCACCAGTCTCTTTGGGGCTCTAGCTTCCCACTGGTCTTGTGAACTGCTGGACCGCACAGGCCTCTGGTGGCTGGGGAGTACTGCTGCCCCAAAGGGCTCAACTACTGCTCAGCTTTTGCTATAGTTTTTGGGGATGGGTCTCAGCTGCTGGTCTGTGCTTCTGTTGCCTGAGGATGAATGTCTGCTCCCCAGCCTCTCTTTTTGGGGGTATATCTCCACTCTGATCCAGCTGCTACTATAGGAAATGGTGCTGGGTTCCAGGCTGTCTGCAGCTTCCGTGACCAGCACCTTGGGAGCTCCACTACTGTGCACTGGTTTGTGTTGACACAGAGTGTCCACTGGTCTGATGGTACCAGGTGCACTGATGGGCTCAGGTTGCTGGGCCCTAACTGCTCCCACTGCCTCCTCCCAGGGAAGACCCGGGATCTTCCAGGGAGAAGCTCCCTGAAGGGCCACTTATCACGGTAGCTGTCTGCTCCCGTCCACAGCACAGGAACTTTCTGCTCCAGTGGCTCTGCACTGCTCGGGTTTGGTCATCCACCTTCACGTCCACTCACACTCTCTCACACACTCGCTCACTCTCACACACTCACCCTCCCTTCGGTCCTGCCTGCTGCCATCATCCCCTCTTTTTTCACACAGTGTATTTTCAGAAGGAGTCCAAAATGAAGTATATAAATTCATAACATTAGAAATGACAGAGTAATTTATCTGCTGAAATAAAATTTAAATCATCTGACTTTCCATTGAAGTTTTTAGTTTTGCATTTACTTGAATAGAACATAGTATTTGTAAGGAATTTTTAAAAGAAACTGTAACTGTATCATTAAATATGCCTGCAGTGGAATAAATGTAAAGCATTTTATGTATTGGTTTGCAGGATTTGAGTAGAGATGCCAACTGTGCTGCCCCATGTGGTTCTCAGCCTTCTATTATCTCAGATACCCAGGCATCAAAGCAAAGAAGACATCTTGCTAGACCTTCTCAAGTCTCGATTCTCTTACTTTGAGATATTCTTGACAATAATTGGCTTAGATTAGAGCAAAAAAAGATGTATGTTCTTAGTGACAGGAACCTCCCATGTGAAGTTTTCCTTTCTAAATTATTTTTCTTTCTGGGGCCCTGCATTATCGTACTTACTCTCATTATTCCTGCCTTAAGCCTGTTAATTGTAAGGAATTCTCACAGAGGACAATTTAAATGTCAGTTCAAGTGTTCAGTTCAGAGTTAGCTGAAAATCTTGAAGAATCACATTTATATTGGAAAATCTTGAAGAATAACAATAGCATTGTCCATTAGTTTAATAAATTTTCACAAAGTGAACATTATTAGAACCTCGATCAGTAAACAGAACACTATCAGCACCCTGGAAGCCCAAGCCTCTATAATGCTCTCTTTTAGTTACTACCTAAACCCTGAAGTAAAACTACCATCCTGCTTTCTGACACCACACTTAGAGCACTTCTGTGCATGTGCTTCTTATATGCATCTTTTGAGCACATACGTAATTATTTCTCTTGGCTAAGAGTGGAATTGCTGGGTCATTAGGTATGTGCATATTTGGAGATACTGCCAATTTTCAAAGTGGTTTTTGACATAATCATCAATAGTTACGAGCACAGATTTTGAACACAGATTTAGTTTCAGATTCCTGAAATGGGAACTTGATTGGCTCAATATAGAGCAGATGTCTGGTCAATTACCATTAGGGGAACTAGAAGTCACATAATACAGACATGGTTTGGGGTGACCTACCACTGCTACACTCTGCATAGAAGTAAGGGCAGTATCTAGCAGTTGGAAGATTGTATGAGCTGGATCAATATCCTAAATGATTTCAACATATATACACATTATTTGCACAAGGAGAGGCTCTAAAGTGGAGATAGAGCCTTGTTGATATGAGAAATGTCCAAACTTGTAGGGGATTTTTATGGGTTTATTTGAGCCAAACTGACAACACATGTTGGGGAGCAAGGTTTCAAATGCTGCAGAGAATAACACTTTTGCAGATTCTTTTTGCATTTGAAATTAAGGAGGGGATGTAGGGAAGATTATATGGAGGTGGGAAAAAGCAAGGCAGGATTAGATGGCAAGATAGTTAACAAGGTTATGTGCTTTCTTGAGGGTGGTTGTGGCTTATTTCAAAGGTGTGTTAACCTAGATTCACAGAATAATGGACAGGGCTTGCTTAAGGCAAAGATAAACCTTTTACTAAAAAGTTAAATGCCTGATATTTCCAGTTAGAAATTTCTGATCAGATCACCTTGTCAGGTTACTTTCCATAGGACCCCTTTTTGTTCATGTAGCTAAGATTGGAAAAGGGGGTGGAGATAGAGAGAAAGGCGATCAGAAGGTAGGAGATGCTTGAGTATGCTTACCTGCTTTATAGGAAAGATCAGATTGAAAAAAATATTCAGGAAAGTGAAGTCTCCCAAGTGTGGCAGGAAGGGATGCAATCTAGAACCCAGGGGAAATGTGTTAACTGTATGTGCGGGGGGGGGGGGGGGGGGGGGGGGGGGGATTCAGAAAGACTTCTTCCCTGTAATAATTAGAAAGCAGAGAAGGATGGCTAGATTGGTTTGTAAGTCTGATCACTCGGCACTTAGCAGGTGCTCAGTAGATATTAACTGAATTAATTGTTGATGAACAACTATATTTTCAGGCATTATATACCGCAGTTTCATTGATCAGTTTTTTGCCCATCCAGATCTCCAGTGAAAAGCATCTGCTGCATAGCTTATGATACTCAGGGGAGCACTTTCACGTCTACCGCACAGAGAGCATAATAGCTTGCTAAAGAAATCCAGATGTGTTCCCTTTATGTGGTGCCCCTTTGTTTCCCATTATGGACCTGACCCTTTTGTCATGCAAACATCATCAGGTATTTCTGCAATATAGAAAAGTTGTGACTATAAATATATGCACATCTTTAAATGTGTGTATACCTATATTCCAATATGTTTATATTTATATACACATTAGACCATAGATCTATATTATTATATAGATAAATAAATATTTATTATCTAAATAAACATTATCTTTAGTTTGGAAAAATAGATAATAATTCTATTGACTTTGTAAAATATTACTACTGCATTTTTGGAAATGTTTTCAGACCTTGATCTGCATTGTTTTTAATATCTTTGATGTGATAAGAATTTATCCTTTCAAGGAGAATTTGATAGTTTTGAAGAACCTAATGTTAGGCACCAAGTCTGTTGCTTTTCCTTATCTGGTTTCTAGCTTAAATCTATTTAAAGTGAATTACATGATCTAATGATATCTGTGGAATACAATTGAGCAATCCCTGAACATAGCAATAACATAATTTTTTGTTTTTGTTTTTGTTTTGTTTTGTTTTTTGGTTAGTTGGTTTAAAACTAGCCATTCTCTGCTGCTATTTCCTTAGATAATGTAAGTTTTTAACTGCAATTTTGAGATGATTCAGATGTACTTGAGACTTTTTTCTTCTTTCTTTTTTTAATGAGAAAAGACTTCGTGGATCTTATTTTAGGATGGGTCTCTCTCATACTTGCTCTAGACTGCATATTCTTTGGTCATATTAAAAAACAAAAAGAGCCCTGGCTGGGTAGCTCAGTTAGTTAGAGCATTGTCCTGAAAAGCCAAGGTTGTGGGTTCAATCCCCAGTCAGGCACATACAAGAAGCAACCAATGAATACATAAATTGGCGGAACAACAAATTGATGTTTTTCCTCTCTCTCAAATAAATAAAATGAAAAGCAAAAGGGAGCCTGGCTGGTGTGGCTCAGTGGTTGAGCATCAACCCATGCACTACTAAGAGGTCTCCCGTTCGATTCCCGGTCAGGAACATACCCAGGTTGTGGGCCCGATTTCCAGTGGGGAGCAGCCAATTGATGTTCTCTCTCATCTATGTTTCCATCTCTCTCTCCTTCTCCCTTCCCTCTCTCTAAGATCAATAAAGAAAAACAAAAGAACAAAAGGGACATGATAGAGGTCACACAGCTGCTTGTTCAGCACGGACCAAGTGTGCCTTGGGGAATCACAGCTTTTTTCGGATGTGACTATAGGACTCGATACTGTATATGGGAAATTAGAATGTAGATTCTGTCATTTATTCACGAACAAGGGCAAAGGAAAAAGTACAATTACAGAATCCATTTAACTCAAACACATTACCTGAGTAACTATGGCCAGCCATTCAGTGGATCTTTGACTATGTAGTCCTAAAATCAGACATGTTCCTGTACAAGGACTTTTAAGTGAGGTTGTGTATGCTCTTATCAGGAATAAAGAGTATATTGTATCAAACAATGGCAGGTTGCTATTCCTGTTTTAAAGGGATGAACACAGAGAACTTTAAAAATTTAGTTTTTCTTTCAGTGACACTTCCTAATGTATTATTTTTAGTTAAATGGCATGTAGTGGGAGTTATTGATATACTTGCTATAAGACTTTTTCCACTGAAAATATCTTATCATTAGTTTACATCCAAGAGAAGCAGTTTTATTCATATTTGTCTAGATAAGTAAGTTTATTTTACAAATAACTGATGCTGCTCTGGAAATGTGAAGCCTTAACTGGATTAGTAACTAGCAGACTTTTAAAGATGGGACATAGACTGGATGTAAATTGAAAGGAGGAGCTGAGTTTGGGTGAATCAGTCTCAAAATAGTTCAATTCTGCATATGTGGTGGATTTGTGTAAGATTTTTCAGAATGGTCTTTTAATATATCCCTCTAAGAAAAGGTTGTCATAGGGTAAGCATGATAGTTTTTCTTTTAAACTTTACTAGCATGTCAGAAGAATACCAAATTCTTGGAGTTTCTAAACAGGAATTTGTGGAGGACACATGAGTTTTTGTGATGTGTGTGTGTGTGTTTAATTTTTCAATTCCCTATGTAACTGTAGTTTCCTATTGCCATACAAAAAAAAGTTTTATTTAATGTGTGATTCCTTTGTTAATAGATCACTTCCCTCTATAAATGGTCATTTTAGTGTTTGTCTAAAACTGTTGTTTTTATTTTTTTTAATGTTTTTATTTATTTTTAGAGAGGAAGGTAGAGGGAGAGATCAATAGAAACATTGATAAAAGAGAAACACCAATTGGCTGCCTCTTGCACACCCCCTACTGGGGATCAAAGACCACAAACCCCAGCATGTGCTCTGACTGGGAATCGAACCAGAGACCTGTTCGTGCATGGGTCAACGCTCAACCACTGAGCCACACCAGCCAGGCTAAAACTATTGTTTTTAGCATTGTTTTATTTAGAAACAGTCACCAACTTACAGAAAAATTGTAAATGTGGTCGAAGAATGTTTTGTTTCTGAAATATTTGAGACTAAGTTGTTGATGGGATGCCATTCCCCTGCAACCATGAGAAGATTCTCCACCTTAACCACAAAATGACCATCAAAATAAAAAAATGAACACCAATACATTACTGTTACCGGTGAAAATGGAGTTCTCAGGTGTCGCGAAGAAAAGAATTTCCTGATGTCCCCACAGGAGGGTGAGGTTTCGTGGAAAACTTTATTGATAATGTAAAATGCAGGGGGTTTCCGTCCAAGGTCCCTTCTCTGTCCACCTTGCCCTGGAAGAAGTCCAATCTTGTCTCTAGCAGGGCCAGAATTAAGGCTACTGACCAAAGTTTCTGCTTCGTATTAAAGTCCAGTCCAGTGCAGCATCTTGAATGTGGAGTTCTCATGGCCATGGGCCATGCGGCTGCTTGGCTATGAAGAGAGAACAGGGAATGTACAGGCCAGTGAGGGTCATGGAACAAGAGAGAGCAAGAAGAGCCCAAGAGAGAACAAGTGAGCAGGAAAGAATTTGTCTAGGGATTTTAACTTTCCAAAAATTTTTGGGCTTCTGATGGGGTCCACCCCTAGCCAATCCATTGTTCCCAGGCTAGACTGACAGGCAAGCACCTTCCCTGTGGCACCCTGACTTCTGTGCATGCACCCACTTCCCCCTTTGTTTAATCCCATTCCCCAGTGATCTGTAGAGAATGGACTGGTGGTTCCCTGGGGAGCGTGAAGCTGTATCTTCCTGGTGAAGCTGCTCAGATGACCATGCTTATAATGTCTGGCCTCCCCTTTGCTCTCTTCCTATTGTTAATACTAGTAAACTAGCTAATTACGATAACACTACCATCTAATTCCTAGACCCCATTCAAATTTTGCCCTTTTTTTCAATTATGTTCTTTATTGCTTAAAGTTCTGAATCACAGTTCAATTTAGTTGTCATGTCTCCTTTAATCTGGAACAGTCACATTCTTTCTCTGACTTTCAATGATTTTCACTCCTTTGAAGATTAGTTATTTTTTAGAATGTCTCCTTTGGATTGGTCTGCATTTCCTTGTGGCTTGATTCAGATTATACATCACTGTGAGGAGTATCACAAGAGTGTTGCGTGTATTCTCTTTCATTGCATGATTCTGCTTTGCCACATTACTGATAATGTTCACTTTAATCACTTAACTAAGGTGGTATCTGCCAGACTTCCTCCCTTTGAAGCTACCTTTTCTCCTTTGGGGTTAATGCATTTGTGTGGAGGATATTAAAACTATGTAAATATCTTGTCCCTTATCAAACTTTTTATTTATCTACTTAATTATATCAGGATGAACTCATTGTTTACTATTTTTTCCTTTTTATTGAATTTATTGGGGTAACACTAATTAACAAAATCATATAGGTTTAAAGTGTACAATTCTACATATTTTCTTTTTTTTTTTCAGTCTGTTACTATCATTTATTTTAATGCTCAAGTTTCAGTTTTGACCATTGATACTGTGTCTGTATCCATTCAATATGCTTCCTGTCCTTCAATGAGCATGTTCTTGTTCTCTAGTACTACAGGATACTCCAGGCTTATCTTGTTTTTCCTGGGCCCCAGACCTGGAATTAGCCATTTCTCCCAGGAGCTCTGGTTCCTTCTGGATAAGAGTGGTATTTAGGAGCAAATGTCTGCAAGCTAGATATGCTCATTGTTGAAAGTGCTGCTTCTCACGGTCCCCCTCAAAAAGAGGATATACATTTACATAAAAATATAAATATATCAGCCCTGGCTGTTTTGGCTCACTGGTAGAGCGTCGGCCCTTGGACCAATGGGCCACAGGTTTGATTCTGGTCAAGGGCAGGTACCTCAGTTGTGGCCCTGGTCAGGTCGTGTGGGAGGCAACCAGTCGATATGTCCCTCTCACATCAGTGTTTCTCTCTCTTTCCCTTTTTCTCCCTCCCACTCTATCTGAAGATAAATAGAAAAATATCCTCGAGTGAGGATTAAAAAAAATAGTAATAATAAATAAATATATAAATATATCAAATTAAAAATATACCCACACATTAAACATTTGCATCTTTTTATTTTGTTTTTGCTTTTTATACAATTTTTTTTCCTTTATTGATTTGAGAGAGAGAGGAAGTAAGAGGGAGAGAGAGATAGAAACATCAATGAGAGAGAACATTGATTGGCCGCCACCTGCATGCCCCCACTGGGGATCAGACCCACAACCTGGGCATGTGTCCTGACCGGAAATGGAACTGGTGACCTCTTGGTGCATGGGTCGATGCTCAACCACTGAACCACACTGGCTGTACTATTTTGTTTATTTATATTTGTGTGTGTGTGTGTGTGTGTATTCTTTTTTTTTTAATCCTCACTCGACACTTTTGCATTTATCTTCAGATAGAGTGGGAGGGAGAGAGGAAGAAAGCGAGAGAAACCTCGATGTGAGAGAGATACATCGAGTGGCCACCACCCATACGACCCCAACTCAGGCTGGGGCAAACTGCAACTGAGGTACGTGCCCTTAGTGGGACCCGAACCCGGGACTCTCTGGTTCATGGGCCGACACTCTAACTGCTGAGCTAAACCAGCCAGGGCTGCTTATATTT